ATATATTAGAAGATTCTGATTTCAGAATTAATTTTCTTATTCGAAATATCGAAAACTGCCAGTAGGAAAACCAAGGAATTCCTCTGATTGATGGTTTCTCTTTACATTGCGTGCGCCATCCATCGATCCCTTGGTTGCTTCTTCCTCTCCGACAAGCTCAGGCAAAATTATCTTGCGAGAAACGCCAAATTTACGGGTGCCGTGTATAAGAACGCCGTAATCCCATCAGCGTACTGCGAATGGTGAGGCGGGATGGGTTCGTGCGCATACATTGTGGGCGCATATTGTGCCCGGGGAAAGACAATGCGGCCCATTGTCTCTTACGACGCGCGTGCGGTCGACCTGGTAAAAAGAGGACGGAGAAAAAACCCCGCAACCGAGCCGAGTTTACGACGAGGTTACTCCGGTCCGTCCGAAGGTACTCTTCGCCCCGGCATCTTCCACGGCACAACAAAAGCGAACTAGACGGAACGTCGTTTCCATAAACATAAAAAAGCTAATAGTACAAAGTTTCGAGGTATCTCTATCTAGAGACAAGAGGAAAGCGCGTGTTACAAACGAAACTTGATTCTATTATCCCCTTCGTGGTGAATTTCCGAGAGAAAAATAACGCAAAGTAAAGAAAGAAAGATAAAGATTTGAAATAGGAAAATTTGAGATCTGATGCTGGAAAGATCGGTAATATCGAAAGTTGATCGCGATTAAACCGTCGACAGAAGATCGGATTCGATTCATCATCAATGAATACTTCACGTATAACTTTATATTTAATGTAATCCTTGTAAATTATAAAGCTCGTCTACTCTTTCCTCAAATCTCTTGTTCGTGTCTAATAGATTTATTCTCTGATTCAATCCTCCACATCGCATTAATACGTACACTTTTATATTTAATATGACCCTTTAGATTACAAAGTTTGGGATTTCAAATTTTGTTTCGAGTCTCTTGTCTAAATTTGGCCTTCTAAGGCCCGGTTTCACCAAACGTCGCTTAACTTTAATCTTAGTTTATTTCATGTTCTCATTCTAAAGTAACAGTTGAAAAGAGACAAAGAACGAATTAAGCTAAGCTTAAAAGTTAAACAATGTTGGTGAAACCGGGCCTAAATAGATTTTATTTTTCGATTAAATCCTCCATAGCACACGATGTTATCCATAACATAATGCCGAAGTATAAAAAATATCCACTTGGATGAGATTATCATATACTTGTAAACCTTGCAACTATTTTTGTCCCGTTAATCTCATTTTCTCTCTCACAACACACGTCAATAATCTAATTAATAATGCGCCCACATCGCTATCGTTTTGAGAATCAATTATCACATTATCAAATTTTCAAACAGTGGGACTGTTTGAAGTCTGTATTCAGACATGCAGTGATAAATAATAAATGTGCGAGTACAAGATTGGACTCGTGGTGGATACGTCAAAGGGAGACGAAACTGAAACTGACATCGATTAATTTGCCTTTGAATATTTTTGCTCTCGTGTTGCAGACAGGGTATCGATATGGCTACACCATACGGGGGGCATCATAGGGTGGTTTATCAGTTTACGTAAGCCTCGGCTTCCTATCGCGCCCCGGGCGACGCTCCCGGCGCCTCACGATCCCGTGCTTTTATACGCGGCAGTTTCCGCGTCCGGGTTTCGAGTGTCGGCATATTTGGGTATTGCTCTCTGCAAATAGAGAGGAGGCCCCGGATACCGGGCGTTCGCCTGAGCTGCTCAAATTTCATACCACCCGATATTACGTCCATTATGCAAAATCGTAATCTTCGCGATACGCGCGCCCCACGTATTTCTTAAGGCTCCTCGCTTTCTCGCTACGACCGCACCGAATCACCGACGTCAGAAGCGAGAAATCGCGGACTTTTCTCATTGCGATGCACGTCGGAATAAGCAAGGGAGAGTGCGGAAACGTATTTTTGTAAGTGCGCCGTTGCGCAAACTGAATTTGTTTATTCCTCGTATCGAAGAGGAAATTACATCTATTTTTGCAGCTGTCGGTTCGTTCAATCTCGTTCGCGTATGGAGTGTCCTATATAATGCAGCATCGCGGATAAGTATACAGGTATATTTTCGGAACTTTCTTTCATCTTTGAGTCTTTGATCAATTTGAAGCCGTTTCTTCCTTTGGAGCGAAAATGTGTGATCGCGCACCATCTCTCCCTTTCTAACGCTTCGATATTCAACTTTGAGTCTCTACACTTCTTTCGATTCTCGAATTAAAATACTGCCAAAGTACACTTGAGATGAAACGAGGGATAAGATTCCTCGTGAAGGAATTAAGAATCAAAGTAACTACCTCCGATAACTACCTACGGCACTCGCAAGAACATGCAATCGGGGATGTTCCCTACGTTCTCTCGGACGTTCGCCAATGAAAGTAGCCGAACAGTTGGAAGCCGGGACACCCGATATAATCGAGAACTTCTCGGTAACTTAGGCCGAGACGCCGCCCTGGCGGGCAACGCGCTTTGGAGAGAACAGAGAGAAAAGTTTCTGCCGGATATATCGGGCGAGCCTGCCAAAAGCTAGCTACCCGCTTCCGCTGTTTCTCACCACTCTACTGCTGTTCTAGACGGCACGGCTGCACGTTATAAGCTGCTTACGCTCCCGCAAGAAAACGCGTGTGCAGCACAACGGCTCCATTAAGGTCCGCCTGGTCGCGCGAGAAATAAGTACCAAGTCTGGTCGCGCAATGCACTAAAGTGTCGAGATTTATGCTCTTATGCAGAAAATTCCGATTTCTCGTGTTTATTATTTTCTATCGTTATCCAAAATATCTTTCCCGCTGTTCAAGAAATTATTTATTTTACTTATATACGTTATATAAATATATATTTCACACATATTTGTGATTATATGTATTTAAATGAAAAATGAAGGAGGAATAAAATGCATCAGTTCTGTCAAGTATAGCGACTTCTATGGTATTAAAGAAATTTTGAAATTATTATTGGACAAAATCAATGTGTAAGCAATTAATTAAAATTAAAATTACGTATTATTACGTTAAGTATCAATCGGATACGCGAAAGAGTTTCTCTGTCGTGCTATCACAAGTAATCTTGGTGTACAAAAATATCTATCTGACATTAAATATTATAATCTTTCACATAGAAGACACAAGTAACTTTTTAATTTATAACTCGCAATTGTAGATAACAATGTAAAATGAAATAATACATAGAATTAAAAATAATCTCCTTCGAACATTTAAAATAACGAAACACCTTGATCCGTGGGGTAAACCGCTGAAAATCATGTACACCAATGCCTACTGAATACTTTCTCTTATTATCTTATTTTATCTCTATATAATGCCCAAACTAATGCCCAAAAAATGCCTAGCAATGCCCAGTAATGCCGCAAATCTGTACACCACAATGCCCTCCGCGGTTTAGCCCTCGCCTTGATTCTTCTAACGCGCCTAACGCGCCAGGATGATCAGTCTGGAGAGTTAATTTGGAGCGATTAAACCACGCGACCAGAATGGAGCAACGTTCCGCCCGATAGGACAGCGAAGTGGAAGAGGTCTAAAACAACCTCAGGCGCGCTGTTTTCGATAATCTCAGACCGGCCCGGGCCATCGACCGACTCGACGACTCTCGCTCAATAAGATCGCATTAGTCGCCGCCACTAATCGGATAACAAACACGTTGATTGACTGTTTGTACGGGACCCCGGCCATTACTGCGATAATTGTTTACTCGCCTACGATTACGCGAACCAAGTTATGCGAGTTATGTGAGCGTTTTGCGCAAGATATGTACCTCGTTTAAGTGCATCGAGTCGTAATGAAAGCGCTGCTACATCTCCCCGTTATTACAATGCAAGATATGCAATGATTCGGTGGATAATTTAACGCACTGTTAAAAATCACAATGCGATCTTTGGACCCTCAAATTAATTAGATACAAGAATTGAGCAATTCATTTGCTATTATAAACGATATAGGGGAAAGTCCCCTCTTATGAGATAGCGAAGTTTCTGCTAAATTAATAGGCATCATCTGTTGGTTCTACCATGAATTTATTGCCCTTGGACTTTCCTCTAACAAAGGAAATTCGTAATGTAAGATTTTTTTAGATCAAGGTTTCTTAATGAGAAAATGGAAAAGTTCACGTCTGGATAATGCTATTATCTATACACACACACACACACACACGCCAATTTTGAATTGTTACAATGTATTATTTCTGTGGTCAGAAAATCTCGGGAAATATGAACGTATATATTTGTTCCAACTGACAGCATCGATAGATTCTTCTCGAGAGACAGAGAAAGTAATAATCGGAAGTGTCGAGCGACTTAGATACCGCATGGGTTTCGTTCGATTCCCGTCACGTATCCTGTCGCGGTGGTCTGTACTACGGCGAGATGTACTTACCAGGTACCACTGTTCCTTGAAGAGCGGGTCCGTGAACAGGTTTTGAAGTGGCACGCCTCGGTTTCTTTGGCGATGGAACTGGGCGACCTGTCGCGGACGCGGACCAAAACCGCCGAAGAAGGGCTGATAATCGGCGAACGCGTAGGACGCGGCGCCGAAGTCGCGCTTCTTGCGCTTCTTCTCATGCTGCTGCTGGAACCAGTGCACCTGTAACCGAAAGCACACCGGATCTGCAACGAACCTTCTTGCGCCGCCGTTCTATGATCGACTTTGAGTTACGTCATGGCGCTACAAACTTGAATAACTTGGCGGACCGAAAGCCATTAGCCGCCAGAGTACGTTTTGTTATCGCTCACGTCGTTACGCTAAGTTTCGCGCGACATTACACGGCGATGTAAACCGGTAACGATCGCAAATTTTCCCAAGTGTCCGGAATATTTTATCGGTATCATCAATCGGGTTTTTTGCTGGACGAAATATGCGTTGATAAGTTGATGGACGGGACATAAGAAACGCACTTTAGTGCCTTTGGATGAAGAATTATTAATTTCACGTCATTATAAATTTTTAATATTATGAAATACATATAATTAAAATATAACTGCTACAATAGCAGAGGCATTAATATTTAGAAATGACAGGATTAAGAGAAAACCACTTATTGTCAATATCTACATACACCCACTAGATATCATCATCTTTATCTATTTTTCTAAAATTATCAAATTTGGAATTTACGACTTTTACATTTCTACAAAATATACAATAATTTTTGCAATATATACGTTTGGTATTGTTTCAAGATTTATTTTGTCACTAACTATAAAAGGCGGAAAAAATTTAATTAAAAGAGAAAGACAGAGATAAAACTTTTTATGCCTTGTTTTTTAAGATATCATAAAACTACTCGCAACACCATCGTTGTTTATCATCCCGTTGATTGGCCAAACGGCTATATATTGTGACGCTGCGACGTGGAAAATTCACCAGCGCAGATTGACTCAATCGAGGGTCATAAATCGAACAATCACCGAAAAACGCCTCGGGGAACGAGCTTTAATTCTAGCGCGCGCCGCGCTCCTCCCGTTTCATTCATATCGTCGTGCTGGGTCCGGACACGCAATGCGATTCGATGCCCGGTACCGCCGACAGATTCACGACCCTCACGCAATTTTGGCGGGGCTCCAAATACGTCGGAATCAACCGAGTTAGTTTCATGGTCGTATTGAAGGCGCGCGCGCCAATGCAGAAATTTCCGAATTTTCGAACCAACACAATAAGCGTAAGATAAGAATTTAGCACATGTGCCGCGCCAGATCGATTATTGAACATGCTAAAAGTCCCCTAAAATCAAACGGTTATGGCAATCGTGCAGTAGAATAGTAGCAGATGGTGCCGTATTCCCTCATGAATTATAAACAGTTGTAGATAGAAGTCAAAATTACGAGAAAAATGTTAACTTACGAAAGAAAAACAGCTCTCATAATCGTCAATTAAGTAAAAATTAATTTGCGACTGTTTAAAGTTCATTTGAACTGTCAATATTTATATATTTTGATTGAAATGCAAATTAGATATTTCATGTAGCTGTACATATCGTATGTGAGCAACGTAAATATTAGAAATATTAATATTACGGTTCGATCGAACCAACTATCGAATCATTCATTGTTTCGTTGGACGTGAAATATCGAGTTGCTTCTTCACGAAAAACTAAAAAAATTGCCAGGTAGCAAACCATCTTTCGAACAAAAATTAAGTATATATACCCCGGAATTTGTATTTTCAAATTCAATCAGTTTATCTAATAATACCAGCAGTGAAACTGAGAATGCAAACAGAGAGCGCGAAGAATTCTTTATGTACTTTTCGATTCTTCACAGAAATAGTTTTTCGAGCAATGCAAAGCTTTTTCATTCAGATCATACGCGACAGACGAAAAAATGAAAGAAATTAGGTGTTAACAATTTATTCTCCCTCATTTGCAGTGAGTTGCGTTTGCATCAATACGAGCCGCGTGACACCGCTCCAACGTGAGCAAGTACAAAATGAAACGTCGCTCGTCTATTTTTTAACGAACAATTAAGCGGTTAACTAAGCGTGCTGCACAATTAATAAGCAGCCAGTCACGATCGTCGGGAGAACGAGAGAGATTTCCCGGTCACGTATCCGTGGCTTTGCCCGCCATAAATCCCGGCGATCTCCGAGCGCGGGGCGTTCGGAAAAAAATGTATCTCGCGCGGAAGTTACCCTCGCACGTTCGCCCCGTGCAAATGGCATTTTCCCCGCGATAACGTGCTCCCTGCGAGCGCAGCTCATAATTAATGCTATATCGCGCGGTCCCCCGCGATGCATGCGAAGAACTGCATTCCTGTTTCTCCCTTTCTTTCTTTCCTCCCTTCTTCCGCCCTTCGACACGATATTTTTCCGACCACCTCGTCTACCCTTCCACCCCGTAATTTTCGTCCGCGAGAAGGAGCTTATCGAGACGAGAACAATGGCGGAAAACGCGACGACGACAATATTGTCTCTCGAAACAGTGAGATATTTTGCCACGTCCTCGTGAGAGAAGGGACGAGGCTTCACCGAGAGTGCACTTAAAGCGGCCACCAGGTATTTCCCGCGCGAGTACTAAAGCGATATTATAGTGAAAAATTCGGAAAAAATCTACAGGTATAAGGATGGAATTTCACAAACTATTTACGGCCACGACGGATTTATGATTTATTACCGTAAGCGTTTCCTTTCATCAGAGATTGATAACGTCTGGGAAAATACACACGGTGTATAATTATTGTACTAAATGTTAAAAATATTTCACTGCCATAAAAAAGATATATCCCGCGTCACAAAACAAATTTCCATCCTTGTCTATGGATTTTTTCCAGCTAAAGTTCAACGTTTACCACAACGTTAAAATTTAGAACAGAACCAAACAAAAACACGTTTCTGGTCAATCAAAAAAGGAAGACATATTTTGCGATCCTTTGTGAGGTGTACCGTTACTGTTGAATATTCTGTCACAGTGACAGAATATTTAGTGATAGAAAACTGCATGTAAACGGGAAAATGATTTTTTGAAGGTACAAGGGCTACATACTGAGAAAAAAGGCAACATTTTTATGACGGGACTATATTTACGCAACGCATATTGCATAGCTTGTTTTCAAAACATCTCAACACAGAACCTTTCTGGCATTTTGGCTTTCACTTTTTCTAAAGTTTTTCTCACGCTCTTCTTTTTCTCCCTTCTTGTTACAAAAATAAAAAGTAATTTTCCCTAAGATAAGACTACACGGCACTTTATGAAATTGCAATTTGTAAGGTTAAAATCCATAATTAAATAATTGGTGTAAATACAAATTTAACAAATTTAGTTATCAAAAAATCATAAAAAATTAACAACTTTAGATTTCATCTTCAAAAAATTATTGCGTCCTTATAAATCTTAATTTACGACTTTATCAGAGATTTCTCTCGTATCGGACAAGTTCACTTATCAGAACGTGCATTTGTCGCGATCGTTAACACGCGTTGAACGGAATCGGCTAATTAGGCTGTTTGTCGAAACGCACGCCATTCTTGCGCCATTATTGCTGACCGATCGTGAAGAGTTCAAGTTTTACTAAGTGATTTCACGGCGTAATTCATAGCAATGAATTTTCTACTCGAAATGGTTGTCATAAACGTAGATATCGGGCTCGTTAACGCGTCACGACTGTCGAATAAATTTGTGAAACATTTACTTTCACGTAAATGCAAGACGTACATATTTGCGGTTACATCTCGCGCTAATTATATATATTTCTGTCTCTTACGACTGCACATTCCATTGCTTCGCTCTTCACGTGTAAATTTTATGTTAATTATAATTCTTTTCTGGTAGGGACAAAGCCCTTAATACGATAACTGAGGCTGATTAAAAATTTTCCTTTGTTTCACAGACCTAGAGTAAATCTACCGCAGTCCTCGCAAACATTGCGTCTTACTCTTTGAGTATAAAGCAAATCTTGCTCCCGTGTGCATCTCGTAATTAATGTCTCTTAATTAGCAGAATACAAAGATGCGTCGACTTACCCGTGGCTCATCCCTGAGCGCCTTGTGATGTGGCTCGCTCGCGGTGAGGGATCTCTTGTGCAGTCGCTTGTGAGAGAAGAGGTAATAATTCTTTAGGGCTCCGATCTGAAACAGAGAAATGAAACGTTCTTATTCTCCTAATCCGTGAGAACCGGCATCGCGTCCTCGCGCCGACGTAAACATGAACAGGCGAGAGGGTTGCTCGCAAATTTCCCGTCTACGACTCCTCGATGGCATTTCGATGGTCTTTGCGACTCGATATCGTTTCGACTCACAAGTTTGGCAGTAACTCCCGAAATGTCGTCCCTGAGTTATACGGCGGAACTTGCTGAATCTCGTCTACATTCATCGCGGTGTTTTCTGCAGACGATAAATGTTTCCCCGACACTCTCGCCCGTGATAGATATAATCACCGTGAATAGAGACATCCAATTTCTCTCGAACTTAATAATCAAACGGTATAAAATAATGTAAAATAATATCGATACAAAGTCTGAAGTATATCATTGAAAAATTATACGTCACAATTTCCAGATAATATCGCATTTATTAGTACAATTATTATTTGTTATGTGATTTCGGTATTGAATTTCATTAATGTTAATAATATTAAGAACGGATTGGATATCGAAACCTCTTTCGTTATACCAATAATGATAAAATTATCAGTAACAAGAGAGCGGCGTCGATAACTGATTTTTCAAGTATTGTTTGTCGATAACGTCAATATCAAAGGCTTTTGTTTTCGGATTTAGCGAGCAGAGATTACTGAATCGAAAATTAACATTAACGAACGACATGCACGACAGCGCTTACAACATTGGCTCTCATTTTAGAAGTTTAACGCGATCCATTAGAGATAATTGGCAGCTTATTGAACGCCAGACGGTTGTAATTATATCTATAGCGTAATACTACGCGACGTTATAGACTGGCGACGTTTCAGTTTGGCCGATGGAAGTGATTGTCAATAATTCTAAGCGTAGCCACGCTCCAATAATATTACCCGTATCGAAAATAATTAATAAGTCATTCCAATCGTTGAATTGCTATTCAGAGATCGCGAGTCTTAATTACATCACCAGATATCCAAAATTAGTCATAAAAATGAAAACAGGTGACGTTAAAATCCCGGATATCATTACTTTCCACCATTTAGTATTAATATTCTGCGAAAAAGTAAACTGCTCTCTTCTATTTAGAAAATGCTTCCACTTATTTTCACTTATATTTACCTACGCCTTGATACGTATTCTCGCGTATAAGTGTTTCAAAATAAGCTAACTGGCTTTAAAGAGGAAGGCTGAATTTACATTGGATTTAAATTGAATTTAAATAAATTTGAATTATATTAAGAGAGCAGGCCTGATATACGACCTTGCCTCCGCATCGCTACATTATATTCTTTCATACTGAATAAACGGTATGGCGCGACGTTCTGCGCAAACAACGGCATGTGTCTATGATTTACACGGGCACAGCTTCCACATTACTCCGATATGATCCGACACTTGAAGAGAAAGCCGTAAGAACCCGGGCTCCCGAAACACGGCGCAACTTTCGCCGGCGGACTTTTCCGGAACTTGGCCGGAACGGGAATCAACCAAAACTGCATCGCGCCACGAAGTAGAATCACTTCCCGAAGCTGTTTTTGCCACCGCCGATGCTTTACACGTGTCGCCTACTTGAAATTCTTCCACGGCGCCTTCCTTCCGCGGAGCCGCGGCTCGGAAATTGAAGAGCAATTCGCGAGGGAACTCGGGCGCAAAAACTCTTTTTCGGAATTCTCGTCTCGGAAAAAAAGGGAGAAGCGCGCGAGCGCGCTTTATTTCACCATCGAGCTTTGCCCGAAATTTTCGCGGCAAACCCGAGACAGCCACTTCGACGTTCTTCGGACTTCTCGAGGATCTAAGTAGCCCGAGAGCGGCAAAGTGCATCACTTGCTCCTCTCAATCTCGAGTTATCTTTCGTGTGAAAGAGGATTACTTGCCCTACTTCTTTCACTTTAGCCATTTTTATCTCTTCAGGAACAGCGATGTATATCGTGTGAGTTCATTTGAAAAACTGCGAACTTGCTTTTACCTCATGATAGGACGATACACCAGAGGCTTCCAAATTTTTTTCCTTTCCCTTCCACTTCATATTTTCTTCGCAATGTTACGCTTCATATCGAATTTTAATTATTCTCCAATCGATAAATGTGAACGGAGCCGTTTCTCTTTTTTACCCGTTAATTTTGCTCGAAACCCGTTACTTTGCGGAAAACTACTCATTTTCAATTGTTTATAACTCGCACCGCGAATTCCTCAACATTTTTGTGCGCCAAGAATCGACTTGGACGTGATCAAAAAATTTCGACTTGCGTGAACGCGAGCCTCGAGCTACACTGTGTAGCGAGAGCGGAGCGAGACACGGAAGGAAATGCGAGACTATCGCTATCTCTCGAAGATATTCCGCGGACGTGATGGAGCATGCCTCGCCAGTTTCACCAGCGGGCGTTATAACTCGGCTGGCGACGACGCCGGAAGGCCCGTTCGCATATTTCCGTATTCCGCCGGCAATTTTACGTCCAACTTGTGCACGGCACGCTCGTTGGCTTCATGACGCAAATTTCACAAGGGCGGGTCAAGGACTCGCTCGAGGGCTTCTTCCTCTTTCCGAAGCGCGGCCGAACGGCGCCCGCTGAAATTCTCGCTCGACCATGCGGAATTTTGATAATACTCCCAATTATTTCGCGAGGCGTCGCCAATATATAATAATATTCAACTCGACTATCCCACAAAACTCTCCAACATCTTCGCCTTAGCTCGCACACTTGCCAAAATTTTCTCGATCAATTGTACACTGAAAAAAAAACACCTTCGCTGCCGTAGCTAATCATGATTTGCTAAAAATATTTTGCTGCATTAACTACATGGAAAAAAATGCTGTTGAATTAAACAAAATGAAGTGGCCTGAATTAAACGTTAACGTCACGGGCTGCCACAAACATAAATAATTCACTCAATTGTATCTGTTGTGGATTTTAATTTTAAGCATTGAACTAAATATCCATTAATGTTTTTCATTTATTAATACTGACGTTATTTAAACGATTTTATTTCAATTACACTGATCATGTTGATACAACTTCATTCTTTTTTCCGTGTAAAAATTTCTAAACTACAGCAAACAGTTGCTGTCGCATCTAATACAATAGGCACAGTAGCAAAGTATTAGCTGTCACAACTAAATATTAGCTGTCTATATTTTACAACTGAAATTTAGTTACTACGTGCAGTTTTCAGCTACGGCAGCTACATTCTTTTTCCGTGTAATTTGTGTCGTAAAGTAGCCAATTGATTACGACGGTTCCTAACGTAGACTTAAATTAATTATTATTAAAATTATAATCGAGACATATTAAATTCAGTCAATATTAACAAGTTTCAAGTAATATATGAAAGTAATTTTCTATCTCTAGGAAAAATTCGTCACAGAATTTATGGCTGCGATATGCGCACGATGTTGTTTTATTAGTTCTAAAGCATCTTATTCTCGTAAGTTCTCGGAATTTTGAATTCTCGACTTACGCAGACTTCCTCCTACAGATATTACTAACGATCGACTTTCTTCATGAAGGTGACGACGTAAACGCGAGGTCACGTCGTCGCTACTAAAAATGACGAAGCGCCCAACTTTGACGCGATCTCTAACGTCGCGGGGACTCGGAGACTCTGCAGAAGAGAGTTTCTCCGTGCGTTTGTTACCATGAGTGATAGTCCCCCTCCGACCTGCTTCTCCGGCTCTATGTCATCCGCTCCATTAACGCCTTACTTCCAGCTTCCAGCTGGAGGACGGTGCCATAAAGCGAGGAAGACGTTGGCGAATTGGACTGATTCGTTTCCGGCGCGATTAGCGTAGGAAACTGCCGCCTTTGTAGCATTCCATTGTGAACGAGTCCGTCCAACTCGAAGGAACGCGATCCGAACGACTGCGGGCGACGTCATTTAAAAACTAAGCACACGAGATGGACGCGATGAAAAATGAAGTGAACGAGGCGACGTTCTCGGTCGAAAGATCAAGATTTTCGCGACGTAGTTGTCGGTAGCGGATTATCGAATGCGGGATTAGGGTAGATCAGTCGCCGCTGAAAGACGGACGGAGTTTCCCCGGCGGTGACCAACGTTTCCTTCTGGCATCGTGGAACCGTGCGTCGCACTCGCGGCGTCAGCCAAATCCTCGATCCGCGTCGACCTTGGCGATCTTCCTAAAATCCCTTAAATCCATCCGGTAGCTTTTCCGGAAGCGATAGTGCCGTCGCGTTCTCGACGCGCCGCCGGTAATCCCGATGGGAGATACTCGTCGCGGCAGCTGCGCACGGGCGGAGTAAAAAGACGAGAAAACGGATGAGAACGGGTTGGCGATGGTGGTGCAGGAAGCGGAGGTGGGAACCGGCATAGAGCGGAGCACAATGCGGCGCAATTTATTAATACTCTGGGACTCGTAGCGCCCTTAGGAGCAAACGGTGAAATAGATATGCCAGCCGGGGCCGGGCGAAGCGAGCGAGCGAGCGAGCGAGCGGGACCTGTTATAAGCCTGAACGGAAATGTCAGGACAAAGCGTCCTGTACAGAACGTACGGCGCAATCTGCGAGAAAATTGCGGTATAACCAAGCGCGGAAAGATGTCAATTGTACCGTAAAACAAAACGTTTTTCATTTAATTTGACATGTACCTCGCCTGAACGGAATTCTAATTTAAAAGTTACCTACAAGGACACCTGGCGGGGGCGGAGGGCGTAATAGCTATCGAGAGAGGCCGACGCCGATAATCGAGTTTTAATCGAGTAACATCGATCGATAAATTACATGTGAAAATTACATTTTTTAACGAATTTAATTAATTTCAGATCCTAACGGTATTACGGATTTAAAGCCGCTCCGTCATTCCTTTTTTGCCACCTGAGTAAGGAAAAAAAAATTGACGAGCACGTCAAAGGGACGTCTGTCATTAAAGATTAATACAGTACAGGAGACGGATATCCCGTAGCAGAGAGTCCCTTTAGACTCTCATACATACGTTCCCGGGTGTTTTTGAAAGCTGACCTACGCCGTTTTCAGCGCG